CTCAAACCGAAACATTCACCTACTAGTATTTTATATCCCTGATGCCAACCAGGTGAGTCATTATTTATTATATTTTGCTTTCATCACTGCATGTTTATCAGTACACGACAGCTTCAGTAATGACTCATGCGATGTCTAAACATTTTTTTTAATATTAGTAATTGAATTACAAGAGTATGGCAACCTTTTTTGCTAACATATTATGCTTGCCGATGATTATAGATTTTTAAATGCTCTAAGAAATGTTGATGAGGAAAAATTTAACAAAAATTTCTTTTCGAATACTAAAAATAGATTTTGTTAATGAAACTCTTAGGCTAAAAGATTACATTTAGTGCTATTTTAATTAAGATAACTGATACATTATTCACATAAACTCAGAAGTGGTGGCAAAATTTACAGAATACAAAATTTAGAGTGACAAAGAGGTTAATGAAAATGAAAAAAAATTCGATTGACAAGTTAGTTGGTATTCTCAACACAGCAATTACAACAGGACTTGAACAGTGGAACTTTGTAACTGAACAAGAAATTATGTCTGTTTATAGAATTAAAAAGAAAGTATAGCACCAAAAACAAAGCAACTTAAACAACTTACATTGAAAGAAATGTTTAATAAAGTATTAAACTTTTTTTTTTGTAAATTTTGATACCCTTTAGATTGTAAATGCTCTTTATTTCATAAATTACGATTTCATATTTTTAATTGTATAATTTTTAATTTTTGAATGCCATCTTGCTAGATTTAAGTTGATGATCTAATATCTGGAAAAATCCGGAATCGTCGAAGTCCCGATCTCGGACTTTGTACTGTATCTGAAAGTTCAGTTACTAATTCTTAAATGCAAACAGAACAATCTGCATTAGTAACTTTTTGGTCCTTTGTTTTCACGGAAAAAATAATTTACTTTTAGTTTTGTTCAATAGAACTCATGTTGTTCCTGTGTTTTTGTGTGCAAACATGTTCGAGAAAATCGGCCCTTCCACTGTGCAAAATCGAAAAATCACAATGACAACGGTACACATCACAAATGCATTATATTTCCTTGAAGAACATGAGTATTTTACCTTTTTTGCAAACATAACTAATATGAAATATCGTAATTTCTTAAACTATTTCTCAAAAGCACATACATTCACACAGGTTAGCGACAAGATGAACGAAATAACAACCTTGATCTTGTGTGTGCTCATTGGGTAATATGTCCCAGATGACACGCACACTCGATGCTTATTGGAGAAATGGAACATGACGTTTTTGGACACGTGCTCTCACTCACAAAGCATTCCCTAATTTCTCACTGATGAAACTACTTTGGTTTTCTATGTAGTGTAGAGAAAAGCCAGGTGCTTTCAGACACCCCAAATCACCTTTTTGGCGATGCAGATAACAAAGTATTAATCCAAGCTACATAAAATTCGTGAAATTTTAAGAATAAGAGAAAGTCGTTGTTGTAAATCGGGTTGGTGGGAGAACGAAAATCTGGAGTCTCCTGCTTAAATCGGGAGATTTGGCAACTCTATGATAGAGTATCAACTTCAGATAAAAAAATATATATGTATGGAAAACTTTGTAACATGATGCAACACTTTGAAAAGAGAGATTTTGTAATTTGCTGTAATAGAAATGTGTTTGCTAAAATACATGTGGCTCAGTTTATTCATTAAGACTTGTGATCATAAACTGGGATTCTAAACAGCATTTTGATAAACTGCTAGTTTGACACTTGCAAGAAACATAGTTAGAACACTAGTACCAAATGAATCAATGTATTGTTTTTTGTGTTTCTTATAGACATTGTCAATGAGCAACATTTTCCAGAAGTAATTTGATGTATTCTTGTTTACTTAAGAAAAGAAAAAAGACATTGTTTAATTGATCAGAGCAAAGCGCATGAGAGCTATCTGCCCAAGAGGAATGCTTTTGTGGACTTTTCTAAAGGAAACTGGCTCATAATTATACAGTACAAAGTCCGTAATCCGGACTCGTTGGGACTTCAGCAATTCCGGATTATAGATCATCAATTTAAATCTAGTAAGATGGCATGCAGAAATTATACAATTAAAAATATGAAATCATAATATATGAAATAAAGAGCAATTATGATCTAAAGAATATCAAAATTTACAAAAAAAAGCTTAATTTTTATTTGGTTACTTTATTAAACATTTCTTTCAATGTAAGTTGTTTAAGTTGCTTCATTTTTTGTGCTAATACTTTCTCTTTAATTCTGTAAACATACATAATTTCTTGTTCAGTTCCACTGTTCAAGTCCTGTAATTGCTGTGTTGAGAATACCGACTAACGTCAATTGAAATTTTTTTGTGTTCAATAACCTCCCTGACACTTTTTTCACTATCGGAAGCATGCATTAAATGCATTGTGTGCATGCGTAAAGCTTACAAAAAAAGTTTGTGGCTTTGAGGTCCGGATTACGGACTTTGTGATGTAGTACACATGGGAGGAAGAACCACAAAAACGTTCATGCAGCCATTCTGTTCACCAGAATTTGAACTCATCAAAGTACTTGAGTGTTCAGCAGTTTTATCCACTTAGCAAAAAACTGGAACTAAAAGGCTTAATTAACATATATGCACTATCACCCTATACAACAAAATCATAAATAAAAACATATTTATTTTGTTGAGTCAATTTTTGCAGAAAAAAAATTATAAAAAAGAAATTCAATTTGTAACCTTATAAGGTATTTCTCCCACTTCCCTAGCGAGCCTTCGTGGTGTAGTGGTTCTGCACACTGAGCCGGTATTTCAGAGGTCCGTGGTTCGATTCCCGGCGAAGGCGGTTGTTAATTTTTCATCTCTCTGGCTTCCAAAAAACCTAATGACTCTACAAGTGGCGCCTGAACTAAAAGGGTTGTGGATGATGATTCTCCGAACCCAGGATTTGGCGACTAGGTCCCCTAAAACCCTAGTCGCCCTTTAAAAAGGGGAGTATATAAGGTATTTCTCCCACTTTCCTAGTGAGCCTTCGTGGTGTAATGGTTCTGCACGCTGAGCCGGTATTTCAGAGGTCCGTGGTTCGATTCCCGGCGAAGGCGGTTGTTAATTTTTCATCTCTCTGGCTTCCAAAAAACCTAATGACTCTACAAGTGGTGCCTGAACTAAAAGGGTTGTGGATGATGATTCTCCGAACCCAGGATTTGGCGACTAGGTCCCCTAAAACCCTAGTCGCCCTTTAAAAAGGGGAGTATATAAGGTATTTCTCCCACTTTCCTAGTGAGCCTTCGTGGTGTAATGGTTCTGCACGCTGAGCCGGTATTTCAGAGGTCCGTGGTTCGATTCCCGGCAAAGGCGGTTGTTAATTTTTCATCTCTCCAGCTTCCAAAAAAAAAACCTAATGACTCTACAACCCTATCATTTTGCTAATATTTAAATTAATCTGTAACCCACTGGGTGGCTTGGGTTTTTGGATCTGTCATGAAGATCTGTATTTAAAAAGCCTTTATTAGCTAAATTTGTATATTTACTTACTTTAGGCTCTATTTTCGTAAACTGACATTTATTAAGATGACATTTATATTATTAAAGAAAGCAAAATATCATAAATTATGAGCTAATATATACCAAATGACAAAAAAATCTCATGACCGGATAAAGCCAGCCATGGTGCTTAGAAGGTTAAATATGTCTACCTAATAGTACTTCATGCAGAGAGTTACTTCTTCCCCATCAGCAAGTTATTGCTGTGATGACACTCAACTTATACACAAACACAGATTTGAAATTCAACTAAGCTTTGTCTACTTCTCATTGGTTACAACTATATGACTGATTATTTTTGGGAAATAGCATTTATCACTTAAGTAACCTAACTTGGAAACTTATAATTACCAAGACGAGATTCTTTCAAACAATACATTTAGTTGTTCCCTCAGCTAATCACTCTAAGGGCATAAATCAACTCTAGGTGGCACACAGGAATTGCTGTGGCCTCCAATAAACGTTATCTCTTTACAGACAGACTTGCTCTAATTTTCTGAGTTGGTACAATGACCTTTCACTCTACAAAGCATAAGTTTCAGTTAATCTAATTAGCTTTTAACACAATTCACTGCTGATCATGCACTGGTGCATGATTGGTGTTACTGCTGAACAGCCAATCATGGTCTGGCGTGTAGTGTACGGTGACGTCTCAGGTGCCAGTCATGCGCTGATGCAGGAAAAGCAGCATGTCATTGTTTATTTTCAAGTTCAAGTGGCATTACATTTTCAATATGTATGCTGGCATTGGTGTGGAGTGGAGGTTAGAAACTAGTTGTAAATGTATGTGGCTGGAATGAAAAAAAGCTTCATTTCATACCCAGATCATACAGGAACAACATTCTGAAATATATAGTTTGCAATAATATCATTGTAACTATCTTATAATAAATTCATTTGTAATATATATATCTATTGTGGCATAGCTTCATACAAAAATAAAGCATATTGTTACTTATTTTGATTCATTTTTAATGCCATGCACTAGCATGTAATGCAACATTGCAGAAATAGTTTTACCTCTAGTGCCAATCAAGCACTGGTACGTAGTCATAAAATTCTATGCTTAAAGGCTTATATCAATGCAGTACCTGTAATAGTCTTTTATTACCTCTTTTAAATCATATTTCTTATAAGTTAGTCAGCATATGGGTACACTCTATTTTTATGACACAGCATTAACTATCAACACAACCTCACATGACAAGCAGCAGAAGTGGTGTGCATTTCGTGTGGTCTTAAATTACCTAGCTTTCTGGTCTGGGCGTAATATGTGAATCAAAGAGAAGATAGAATAGTGTTTAAACTAAATGAAATGCTAAAACTGGATATAATTACCACAGACTGCTGGTAAGATAACTGATTTATATTAAACTGTAATCACAGACTGAATGCCTAACAAGCTTTTAATATTTTATTTTTTGAAGTTCTGAAGTTGTTATTAAGCAAAACTTTTTAAATTATTTAATATTTATAAGTAAAAATTTTTTTCTTTTCAGAGAAAGATCTGAAACAGCTTCATCAAGAAAACAGGAGAACATTTATATTTGGATTATCCATATTTATTTTAGTAATATTTATTCTAATTTATTGGCATGCATGATACATAAAATTTTGCATAATTTTAAATTGCACAAATATACTTTTAAGAAAAATTCCATTCTTTTGAAAATTTTTACTGGTATATATTACCAGTAAAAAATTGTCACTTGGTACATATTAGCCATTTTTAGAATTCTTTACATATTTGATATTCAATAAAGAAGTAATATTTCAAGAAATTGTTTGCTTTTCTTCAAAATTCTAAAAATTCAACATGGATATTTTGTAACGTAGAAAATACTTTTATTATTATGAATACAGTTTTTCAACATCATCTTTAATTTTTATAAATGTTTCATGGCAGACATCATATAAAATATCAGCAACTTCAGCTTCTGTAATTGATTCAAAATACTTCAGCTCTGTTGAGATGAGGATTAAAAAAAAAAGTATTAGCTTTGGAAATTCATATAACATAAAATAAGAAAACTGAATAGCTTAAACTTTCTGTAACTAAATGTAATTATAACTGTTAAGTCATACATTTTGACAAATGAATATATTTTAACACTTCTCTTTATTAAATACATCATGTGCGGAAAGCGACTAAAGTCATTTTGTGTGGATTGGTAGTTGAGCATGGGCAATGACAAATATTGTTTTCTACGAATTATTGGTGGTCTTTTGTAATGTTTTTACAATAATATCGGGTAATGACCACCATACATTTCAACATTAAAACATGCATTGCAGAAATCCATTCCGGTGAATGTAGCATTCGACACCAGAGCTTCCAGCTATGCATCGAGATAAATCTGGGTCGAGTGGTGGATGTGTTATGGTGAAACACAGAAATCTGGAGAATGTCGACTTTCACCAGTGAATGTCAACATTCATATAGTCTCTTGGTGTATGTCCGAAATATTTTCCAAATACTCTTATTTCTGACTTACACCAGTCAATGTCGACATTCACCATGTACTAATGGTGAATGTTAAACATATAACAATATTATATTTTCTTCTCCATAATTCAGTCACGAATAAATGCACTATAAGACTTGAAATAAGAACTTAAGAACATGAGAACCTAAAACACACAATACATTCAAAATGAGAAAGGAAAATAATAGAAGTTAAAAACTCAATTATGCAGTACGTTCTAAATGAGAAAATAAAATAACAGTAATAAAAAACTTACTAAATTAGATTCAAATCTTATATATTGCAACAACTTAAACTATTATGTCACTTTATGACCTCTCTTTTCGACTTTCACCAGAGCATATCTGTGATTGTCGGCATACACCTGTGAGGGTCCGAATATACAAGAATGTAGTGAAATATTCCGTCTTTCACCAACGTAATTTGGTAAATGTTGATATTCTCCAGTGAAAGTCGACATTCTCCAATTTCGATCTTTCACGGTAACATATGCACTCTATACAGCCAACAGTTTTGCCAAGCATACTCATATGTTGTCCACACTGCATAACTGAACTTTATTGTTAGGAGCTTCGATGTAGTGCTTATGAATTCCTAGTCTAATTTGACCCTTTTTTACAGTAAATTCCTAACGAGGACAATAATAAAATGGAATGTGATGATGAATTGTGTGCAGATAATTTGTTGAAGTGTGAGGACGAGGTCATTGATGATGATTCTAGTGACAACAGTATTATATATCATCCTAGGACTTATTATCCGATGAAGAATTTCAAGCTGTTCTGATTCAAGCCCGGATTTGGATGATTTTGAAGAATTATCATAAATAAGCGACCCCCCAGTAGGTTTCTCAGAAATAAATACAGAAAGCATTCTGGATGCTGTAGCTTTAAATATTGGCGATTTTTTTACAATCCTTGTACAGGAGTCAAACAGATATTGGTAATTCACAACTTCAAAAAAAGCCCTCAAATGGAAAGACATAACAAGATATGAAGAAATTTTAGGGGCTTATTCTTCTACAGATTTTGTAAGAAAGGCCTGGCACTTTAATAACAATGAAGACTTGACTGATGGTTCAGACAGGCTTTCGAAAGTCAGACCACTACTGAATTACTCAGTTCCCAAGTTTATAAGCCTATTCAGCAGTTGTCTTTGGATAAAGGCATAATACCTAGAAGGAGGAGGTTATTCTTCAGATTTTACAATGCAATGAAGATTGTAAAATGTGGAATTCTAGTTTGTATGCTGTGCAAAAGTACTACAGGCTACATGTGTTATTTCAAAATATATCGTGCTAAAAAAAAGTGATTGATAGAAACAGTTTAAATGATTTTATCACCTTGTACAGGCTTGTGACACCATATCTATGTGGATAACTATTACAATAACATGGAAAATAGTGAACAGTTATTAAAAAATTAAATTATTTGGGCCACTATTAAAAGAAACAGGACTTCCAGATTGCCTAAAAACCATTTCATTGAAAAGAGAAATGGCCTTTAGAAGGAAAAAAAAAAAAAAGACGTATTAAAAGTATCAATCAAAAATGGTCTGCTATGTTGACAGTACATTAATCTGAAATGAAAGAGTCATAATAGTGATAGAAACATGAGTGAAAAAATAATGAAACCTAATCCACTGATTGACTATGCGTGAAAGGCTTTGATCAAGCTGATCAGTATCTATCATATTACACCATTCTAAGATAACCTACCAAATGGACAAAAAAAAGGTTGCTATATACCTTATAAACTGTGCATTTTCAACTCATTTGTTGTTTATAATTCCATGAAGGGAAAAAAAATAAGGTACACAATTTTTTTTTTTTTTTTTTTTTTTTTTTTACTCGTAGTTGTCCATTGGCATACTGATGAAATTTCACCAGAAGTTGATCCAGATCCAGAAGAACCAATACCATCAACATCCAGCATTAGAAAAAGAAAAAAAAAAAAAAAAAAGCAGGAAACAATGGTGCAGGGAGACTTTCCATGGACATGAGGAAACATACATTAGAACCCATCATGAGAACTGGAAAAACAAAAAAATACTTTCTGACAGTGTTGCGTGTGTTCTATCAAGAGAATATGCAGTTTTGCAATGTACCTTTGCATAAGGAAAGTGCTTTAAAAGATATCACACTGTAAAACATTTTTAAATTTAATTTTTTTTTTTTTTTTTTTTTTTTTTTTTTTTTAGAAAATATTTTTACTCTTTTTAAGCAAATAAAGAAACTGATTTTTAAAGAGAAACTAAACGTTTTATTTAAAAAAGTAAAGTTAAAAAACTACAGCTATTTTGTGCAGAAGTAATTTTGCACATAAATTGCAAAAAATCGCCTGCTACCTGATTGTTTGGTGTGAAAACACTCATGCAAAATGTGTTAATAATGTTTAGTATTATCCTTTATTCAGGAAAATAGATTTTGATATTTAAGATTTGTCATCGCAAATTTTTTTGCTGAATTGTGCACCTCTGTAGCGTTTGATTTCCTTATTTTTGAGTAAGTATTTTTACTTTTTTAAAGCAAATAAATTGATTTTTAATGAGAAACTAAATGTTTTATTTAAAAAAAATGTAAATTTAAAATTTACAGCTATTTGGTGCAGAAGTAATTTTGTGCACGAATTGCAAAAAATCGCACAAGTACTATCCTTCTTTCAGGAAAACAAATTTTGATATTTAGGATTTGTCATTTCAAATTTTTTGCTGAACTGTGTACCTCTGTAGAAAAACAGGAAAAAATACTGTCTCAGAATTTGCTTAAGGTGATATTTTATGGATCACTTTTCAATCTATCTAAAAAATTTAGGCATGCTGAGTTAACAAAATATGCAAGTTTTATACTGTTTTGGAAAATTAATAAAGAGAAATTGACAATATAGTATTTGAAGTTTTATTATGTGACATTTTACATACTCTATTGAAAAAAAGGAAATCAAATTATAACTCAATAACTTGATGAATACTGGGGATATAACCTTACAATACTCAAAACAAGTCACTTCAAATAAAGAGTTCCAATCCGTTTCACTATTGGGTTTTTAACGTGGATAGTATTTACCAATGTTTAGTATCTTATCCATTTTACTGTTGATGAGCTTTCTGGGATAAAGATGGGAGATGACTTTAAAATAAAATCATAGGTTTCAAAAACTTGGAAAAAACATGTGGCTGTTTTAGATTCAGAGTAAGCTTTTAAAACGAGTTACTTGCAGCATTCAGATGTATATAAATTATGCAAGAATGTCATATGAATAAAATTTTCATTCATTATGACTTGACTTTATGAGATGTAATTTCTGACTAGCATAGTTATTACCCTTCTAATGCATGCCTTATTTTAAAATGCTGAAAATATAAGTAAATCTAATTTTCAGGCACATTGTATTTTGCAATGTCCTCTTAAGAATTTGAAATTCAAACCCTTCATGAATAGTTAAAAAAAATCCCTTGTAAAAAATTACATGGCTTAAAACAAAATGCATATATTATACAATATATTGCATACCTTTAATTGGCAAGTGCCCACCAAGTTCACACAGAGCTGGATTAAAAGCCAGGTCATTTTTAGATCCTGCAAAAAAAATTATGTGTCATATACAGGCTAAGAAAAAAAATCTGAACACCTAAGCCAAAATGTCACAGTCTCAAAACTTAATAATAGAAAATGTACAGTCTGAATGCACAAATCAGATTTAAAGCACTTGGGAGACACACACCATAAAATATATGCAAGGTGAATTGCTCAGCTACTGTGTAAATAAACATCTAACATCTTTGCTGCTAATCACATACTGACACTTCATTTCGTGGTATCATCTAATAGCCAGTCACATGCCAGTATGTGGTGAGATATATGTTAGCACTTCGTTTACAAGTTAGTTGGCATTATGGCTTAGATATGGTCATAACAGTAAGTGCAAGACTTTGTTTGTGGTTTCACATTTTTCATGTAAATTGTTTTCAGAATTTTCCTACAATATGAAAAACGCAAATGACAATTTACCAGGGTCTTCTCATCCTAAATGAAAACGTGAATAGAGAGACCATTAATAGATAAGGAACTTACAAATATTATTAAAAAGATAATTTATCAAATTAGTTAATTCAGTTTTGGGTGAAGAAGATGATTCTGGATATTTAAATAATCGTATATATTGGAATATAATGTAGAAATTTTAATACAAGAATTTACTTTGCTAGGAAACGTAATTTGGACAAATGAGTGTACGTATGTGAAGTTCTCACCTTAAATTAAACAGCTGCTGATGAAGTTATGTGCACCTATCTTGGCAGTGAATGTATTAAGACTGCTTACGTGATAGATTTGTTTGGATTAGCCAATGAGAATGACTAGAAAACTCATCTGGTGATGAGAATTCAAATAAGATTGAAATAACCTTTAGGAAATAAACAAATTACCCAGTATAAGAGCTAGAGCAATGACACAGTTAGTGTTCTTATCAGTATTCCAAGAAGGTATCCATAACCATTATGAGTGTAGTGCTAGCAACCTTACAGGAGGGTCAGTATAACTGCTGTAAGTACACTGATAGCTTGTGCTACTCAGAACCACTTACCTAAATTTCCTAGATGTATAAAGGAACAATTGCAAGAAGGCTAGCAAAGGCTGGACTCTTGTTTGGCATCCATTGTGGTGTCTAACTTTAATTCCTGGGCATGGTCAGCTACTCTTAGTCTGTTGTTAAAATTGTAAAGCTTGAAATTGATTTGACTGAAGCTGTATTGTATTCTGTAGTAAAATTTTTTGTCCAGCTCAGATGCCTGTAGCCCAGCTTGTTCACTGAGATTTGAACTCTCATCAAAATACCAACATTTAGGAGTTGGACAGTCCAAAGGTGGGATTTTGCTGGTTTGGCAGAACTGCTTCCTAAAATCTAAGTACCGGCTGTTAAAATTTCATTGTAATATTTATTAGGCAATTGATCACTACTCAGTTTCCTACTTTGGTCACTTATTTAAGAAGTTTGTTATATTATTTGAATTCCATCCCTAGCCACAGCCATTTTGCAACATTCATGAACTTGCTGAGCAGTTAAAAAGAGTATCTGGAATTAAATTCTGAGAGACAACAATCAGCATTCATTTAAGTGCAGATATACAGACGCTGGATCAGAGAAAAAAATATTTGTTTCAGCACATGCTAGGCCTAATATCATTATGCTTTGGTGCTACGTGTAACAGTTATGAAACTATGTTTTCTCAATGAATAGATTAATTGCCCTTCCAGTTTTAACCACTTTTTCATCTCTATCTTCCCACTGTGCATGTTAAATTTCTTCATGATTCACTTAACATTTTCTATTTGTGTTTGGTATGTTTTCTCTTTGCTAGAGAGTAAATTATGTACACAGTGTTCAAGTTTAATATGCTTTTAGCAGCACTAGCCTATCATATATTACAATCAAAGCACTAAATTCTTTTTAATTATTACCGTAATTTCCGGAAGAAACGCCGCGGCGTTTACGTGTTTAAAACTTAAATTTTCAGCGGGTGCGGCGTTTCTACCCATGCGGCGTTTAGGTGCACTAAAAATAAAATATTTCCTATGATGGTCATTGTACATAGTTTGGATGGCCTTGTCATTGTGCATAGACTGGTGCTGTTCCCACACAAAAGACCATTCAGTTGCTTTTTGCGAACGTTATTTTGTTTACATTCTTTCCCTTGAACGGACCTACGTGCCTTATTCACCCTAAACGAGATCTCAGAACAATAACATTCTTCCCCCTTTCAAATCAACATTCTCATCAGTTCGAATAGTCTCTCTCCTCTGCCATTCGATGAATCTTCCGGGACCCATCTCTCCCCACCCCTGCCTTTTCTGCAATTTTTTCAAAGGCGGACACGACTCCACCTGCCTCGCAATAACGAACTCTGACGTATTTCCCCTCAGCATGAATGGATTTCTTGGCATTCTGCCAGATACAGATCCCATCAGTTTGGGTACAGTACTTGTTGGATAGTTTTTAAGACTAGCGTCTACATCCCAAAACGGCAGCCTATAGAGAGAAGCGATTCTATTATTTTCATGGGGAAGTAGGGAAGTTAGAATGGTTTTCTGAGGAATGCACAACGGCAGTGGACTATATGTTTGCTTACATTTGGAAGTTCAAAAAATTGCTAAGGTGGATTGCCTTACTTTTCTACGGTTACTTAAGGGAAATATTAGGCAGTTTTTTCGGCTTGCTGATAGAGGGCAAAAATAGACAATTTACCTTTATAATCCGCGTTTATCTATTTAAACTTCAGAAGATTTAAGATGAAGAGAATATATTTAACACAACAGAACGCAAGCTTAAGACTTGTAAATCTTTTAAAAAACAATACATCGCGAATTAAAAATATTATTTATAGTTCATTATTAAAAACTTAACTGGTATGTCATATATCAGGACTTAGGTTGAGTTTTTTCATCTATACGGCCCACGACGATGTCACGCGCAATTTAATCTATTGCGGCGTTTCTGTGTAATTTTAATTTTTTTCACGCCAATTTTCTCGAGTGCGGCGTTTACGCTGATGCGGCCTTTCTTCCGGAAATTACGGTAAGTAATAAGTAGTTAAGTAACAAATTGTTTGAAAAATTCGTATTTTCGACCCTTCTGATAGGTTGAGAATGGAATGGCATACTATAAATAACATACTTACATTTTAGAATTTCAAGCAACGAAGTTCAATTTATGATTATTACCATAAAAAACATATGTGTTTCATAAAAATGATATTAATTACAGACCTTGGTGAAATATAAGTGCAGTTACCTACCTTAGGAAATCTATTTTTATGTTAAACTTTCTAAAGAAAACTACTTCATATTTATGTTACAGAAATAGGAAGCCATGAAACAACCTGGGCAATATGCAAACTTATGGGAACTGAAGTCACATACAATTGTAATGACTATTTTAATGATTGTGTTTTAATTGATAAAAGTAAGTTATTGTGAAATAAGTAACAGAAATCACTTCAGTTAATATATATATTAAAATCACTTCATGGTAGAATATTTTCCTGATTCCAAATACAGAAATGCCTACCAGCGGCCGAGTGGTAAAGACGCTGAACACTGGTAGTTCGATCCGAGGTTCAAATCCCGCGAATGGGCTGGCTGCATGGGTGTTTTTGTGGTTTTCCCCATGTGTAATGTGGATACGAGCCAGTTTCCCTTAGAAAGTCCTCCACAAAGGCATCCCTCCCTTTAGGCAGATAGCCCTCGTGTGCTTTGCCATAATTGAATAATCCTAATATAGAAATTAAATTTTGCTTATATTAAAAGTGTACTAACATCATTCAGCATTATTCTATGTATCTTATGTAATTACATAATATTTGTAAGAGATGCTTGATATTACATTGTATTAAAATTCATCCTATAATCATAAATGCTTAAATAAAATTAGTTTTTACATGCACATCTAAGATGAATGGTTTTTGAAATTGAAAAATTAATAATTTTAAATATTTTTCAGTGTAATTAAAAATGAGATCCTGCGATAAACACTCATCAAAATATACTTATTATTTTCCAGACAAATTAGTATTACATTTTCAGTGCATTTGGTAAAGAAAACTCTTTCGTTAGTTATAGAAATTCATAAAATAGAATCTAATTCAAAAAGTAAAATTCATTTTAACACTTCACAAAAATAACTTTGGTAAAGTCTAACCTTTACCAAAGTTTGTTCACTTGTGTATACAAATAAATTTTAGTTATGTAAATTTAGTTAAGTTACTGTGTTCTGTGTTTTGGAATTGTAGCCACTCAGAATGCAGAGAAAATGTATTTCCACCTGAGACTTTTGGCAAAGTAGATTAGAAGGATTGTTTTTTTTTTTTTAAATTTGAAAACAAAATATATTTAAATTAAAAGAGAAAAACCTACTGCTTTCATGACCTTGATGAGTAATGCATGATCAAAGCAAATTATTACTAAAATATATTTACTCTCCTGAAATCATTGGTATTTTTAAGTTATCAAATCATTTGTTTGTAACAGATATAAAAGGAACATAATTTATGCATCTGTTCATGAGGTCTAAATCTGTATTCAATTACACTGACTTTGAACAGCTTTCTGATATTAGTTTAACTCATAAATGAAAATATTCTTACACTGCTTGGAAACTGAAAGTAATATATTAATTTTAAAATTGATACTAAAGTGCTGAATCATAACTTACCAAAAGAAGGTTTTCTTGCCCAAACATATATTCGAATAGAATTGAACAGGTCATTTTTCTGTGAAGAACTCTCACTGAAGGAACTTCCTCTCATTATCAAAACATTGTGAGCAATTTTCTTTGCTAATAGAAATTCTATTAACTTCATTACAGACCTATTTAAAGTTTTCAAAATGGCAGAAGGTAATTATTATGTGGAAGAATAGTATTTAAAATTGATAAAAACCATTTATTGCTAAAATAATTTACCTGGCAACTATCTCAATATTTTCTTTTTCTAACAGCTGGAAAACAAACCCTTCTGATGGGAAGCACTTCAATACATAACATTCTCTCATCAAACATACCACAGGCTAAAAAAGTCAAGAAGCAAAATACATATAAGTGGTTGCTTAAATAGCAGTTAATAAACACATAATTGGAAAAATTTATTATGAAATATCAATTACAACATAGTAAATTTAATATATTAACTCATTATGTTACTAATTTTTCAACAAAACATACCATGTTGATTTTATTGATAGGCCCATCACTGAATTTGGATATTTAAAAGTTATATAAATTCAAATTAAAACAATTAAAATGTAAAAAATATTTTTTACTGCAGCATATTACATTCACCTGTATGATTTTGGATTTGCCCCAAAACAAGGTAGTTGCCCCTCCAATAGAAACTTAATTTCTGAAAAAAATAAGCATACAAAGAGAAAAGATATTTCTGATCTACAATAAACTGAATGTGGACTGACTGACTGACTGGTTGGGTTTACTTTCGAGGGGGGAGTTGGAATATTTGTTTTCTGATACAGTGGTATTTTAGTGCAAGAATGAGCCTAGCATTTCTCAGTAATGCATTATTAATTATGGCAAAATACATGTCTAAGGGAGGAAGTAATCTTTCTAAGCAAAAGCAACTCATGTTTATGTAATAATATATTGAGAAAATCCTATCTCACATGTGTTATAACAATGTTTTTACCCCAAACATTGTGTATAGTGAAGTTTTTGATTAATTTCATGAGTTGATTTATTTTGTGAAATTTATTTCTCTTTTGTGAAAAGTTTGAGTTATGTTGTAAAAAATAAAAAAATAAAAATAAAAAAATTTATCCACCATCATTTAATCTTTATTTAATATTATTTATTTATTACTTAATTTTGTTTAATCTTGGAGATGCATCTGAAATAGCCAGCACTCTCATATATGTAATTTAATGTCATGTTACTTTATTTTGCACAGTTCAATATAGCAAGTGCCTGGTTGTTGATGACCAAACAATTCCTGAAAAATTATCTTAAAAAAATGTGAGTAGAAAAAAGATGTAATAAATCTGATCTAAAAATTCACTGAAAACAATTTTTATTCTATTCTTTCAAAACTATAAATTGACTCCAGTACTTATGAAAGTCTAACGCAGTAAAAACTTACCAAAGTAAAGGAAGCTGGTTTTATCTGTTTTGTAAGAATTTTAACAACTTGTGCTTACTTTAATTAGCTGTAAGTATATCAAAACTACAGTAAATAATTAAACAGTTTAAATTTTTTCCAGAAGTGAAGAACTGTCTGTTGTCTGAAAACAAGTTCATATGTTCAACTTCAGAATTAGAAACAAACATTTTTCAAGAAGAAATGTTTTTCATGCCAATTTTACAGCACAACAAGAAAAAATGTTGACATATAAGGAACAAACTAAGCATTTGACAATTATTTATCATTTAATATAGTCATTTGTACAAATCCAAAGCTTCAACAAAATATCAATGATATATCAAGGGTTTAATGAACTAGAATAGGTCCTGATAGAAACTGATGAGAGTTTTCAGATTTTATAGAGGATCAGATCTTCTTTTAAAGTAGTTCCATGCTGTTTGAACAATTGCCCTTTAGGCATTTTGATTCACCCTTAAAGAGATGCATTAACTTTATGGAAGGAAAGGGAATGTAGAGATTACTGGCTAAACTACTCAATGCTTTTCCCTCTAGAGGGAAATTTAAAGGCACAAATAGATTACTCAATGGTATGCTAAACGCGAATGTATATTTCCAGTATAGAAGATGTCAATTTGTTTCTCCATATTAAAACATAGCTTTCCTTTAAAAAAAATTGAGTTTTTAAATAATAATTTTAATTTACCTTACCAAATTAAGTGCTTTGATAAAGTGTTAACAAGAATTACTTTATTATATATACTTTTATTTTAAAATTATGTTACAAAATTCCTCCATATTTAATTATTTTATACATATTTCTAGTCTTTTTGATTTGTGAGATCTCCAACTCATTTTCTAATACATCTAAGATGTTTTTCCACAGATCCCACGAACTTATTTTCTTAAATTTGCAAACATCTATGACTTTGTAAACCAAAAGGACACCATGCAAATATTGCAGCAACTAGAAAAGTTACTTATTGTCATATTTTCTTGTAATTTTTAGTTTGTTTTGTTGCATATTTTATCAAAAATATCCAAATTCTTTAAAATTTTCCCCCTTGGAAAAAATGATTAAAAAATAAAATATTAATGAGGATATTTAAATTGTATGGGAATGTTAAAATTTAAACTGAAGAGAAGTTAAAATTTTAAATCTAATAAATATTAAAAATTTGAGAGAAAATTGTCAAGAATTTATAATTTGCAGTGTTTAGTTTAAATACGATTTCTTTACCCTATAATGCACATTTTTTATGGTGAAAATCTTCCAAATCAGAACGGGAACATTGTACGGTGCATACAGTTTTGAAAGAATGGGCAGTTACAAGATAGTTAGTTGCCATCTTCAATACCTTGTATTATGATTCTAACTTTTATGATGTTGCATAATTTAGAACTACACTGGTTATCATAAATTAAGGAAAAATCATGATTACTGAAAAAGTTACATGTAGAATTTTATGAAACTTACCCACAATAAACAACATATAGTAAGGTATCAAATAACATAAAAATAAATTACCAGACTATTATGGTAGTATAGAAATTAGCACATGCATACAATGAACAAATCGAAGGTGTTAGTTTGCTATAGGAACAGTACCTTCAATATGGAATATGGTCGCCTCTAGAAACAATACAGCGATGCGTGATGCTTTCAATTATGCGGTCTATCAGTTGCATAGGAAGCGAGAGCCACTGCTCTTGCAAAGCAGTTGCAAGCGCTGCAAGGGTCTGAGGGGGTGGATTGAGAGCAGCTAGACGTCTCTCTAAAGCATCCCAAACTTGCTCGATAGGATTCAAGTCTGGGGATCGAGCTGGCCACTCCATGTGCATAATTGTTTCCTGTTGAAGATAATCATCTACGATGCGAGCCCTGTGTGGTCTTGCATTATTGTCCTGAACAGGAAAGCATCACCTATTGCCCCGGCACATGGGCGCACATAAGCATCAAAGATGTCATCTCTATAAACCGGAGCATTCACGGTTTCCGTTGGAAAGACATGGAGGTCTGTGCGTTCACCCAAAGAGATACAACCCCAAACACAGACACTGCCTCTTCCGTATGCATCTCTTTAACGGATGTTTGACAGATGATAAAGGGTTCCAGGTTCTGTCCATATCAAATAATGCCTACTATCGCTTTCTAGACTAAACCTGAACCTGAACTTTCTAGACTAAACCTGATCAGGCGTCCAGTGGACATGTTGTCGTTATACTGCAAACGGTTCCTCCTATGGTGTGACGTGAGTGGCACGCAAATGACTGGTCGTCTCACATACATACCACCTTCGTGAAGCCTTCTACGCACAGTTGACGTTGACACCAACCTTCCGGTAGCTGCAGCAAGGGAGGATCTAAGAAGTGTCGGAGTAGCGGTTCTATTCCTGCGTGCACATAATGTCAAATAACGGTCATCGGCGCTCATAGCAGTTGGCCGTCCTTGGCTTAACCTCCCAGATGCTGAATCTGTGGTTTGAAATCGCCTCCAAAGTCTATGAACCACAGAAGGACTCACATTTAGCAATCTGGCCACCTTCTGTTTGACTTTTTCCTGCCTCTAGTCTCCCAATGACTTTCCATCGTAGTTCTGCAGGCAAATGATGCCTGGAGGTCATTGTTACGAATTGGCTATCTCACATTTCTGATGTCACTATCACAGTAAAATATGTGGGCTTGCTCTCAAACATGGACTTTTATTCTTCTCGCAGATGACGTATTCCGAGTGCAGCGCCACTAATTTGGATATTGCAGTTTTACAACTACTCTTACTTGGCAACATATTAAAATTGTACACGGTTTGGCTTATTTTTGAGGGAATTATCACTATTTTTGTGATTTTTCCTTAATTTATGATAACCAGTGTATATGAACTCGTGAAAAAGCTTTTATATTTCTTCCTTAATCAGTCCTCTTTTCCATTTTGGCATATTGCTAGAAAGTGAAGCATAAACTTCAAGAAATCTTGCAAAGATATTCCAAGGCTCTGTTTACAATTCACGAATAAGGTTATGCTGAATTCTGAAGCTGCAAAAATGAAGAGGGAACGGCAGGGAAAACTGGATTCTTAACACAAAGACCTTTGATGAGTTGTTGTTAAGTCTGCAAGCACATCAAACTGACAGTTCACTCCACCTTTTCAGATTGAGAAATGGGAGAAAACGATATGGTCATCCTTTCAAATAGTGAATACCAAGGCTGATATAATGGCCATCCCAACCCCAAAACGTCAAGCAAATACTCTCAATAAATTAAGAGAATGTCCATTACATGTACTGTACATATGTGGAAGTAGATTGTTGGTTTTTAAGATTGGCATATATATAACATTCTCAAAAGAATCATCCACTTCTAACAAAAATACATTATGGCAATATACAAAAAGAAAACTTTATTAAAGAAAATCAGACATAAGAAATCTTACCACATTCTACGAAACCATAATAATGAAACTCTCTCTCTTCCAGATACATTTTTAACTCATTCTTTTTTACAATTTAATATCAATGTTGCCAAAATATTAAAACTTAAAATTATGCTTTATAAACAAGTACTATCAATTCCCCCTTATTTGTATTTATAGATATAATTTTAATCAGTCAGTCATGTCCATACTTTAATAGTCCATCTTTTAATTTCACCCTAGGTAGATACTTTGTTAAAATATCCGCTTCTTGATTTTGTATTAGATTATTGATGTATTATTGAGTATCTGTATTAGATTATTGATGACTTCAGGTTCATAGATAGTCACCAGATATCACATTTGCCTCAAAAGTATTATATGAAGGTCAGGGAGATTTTTCTTTGGATGTTTCATGACCTTTATAATTTTGTGCACCAATGTGAGATAAATAAAGCAGCACTCTATTAAGTTGTCTGATCAATTTTAATGCCATTTGATACCTGTGATGC